TATGTGTGTGTGTGTGTGTGTGTGTGTGTGTGTGTGTGTGTGTGTGTGTGTATGTATTCACTTCAAATAATTTGGTACCAAATCTTTTCGTTTTCTTTTTTCTTTTCTTCTTTTCCAAATCCCACCTTTGATGTGGCACCAGCACATTGTTGATGCCTCCTAGTTTGGCGTTGATCTTCAGACAGAGATTGGACAGCGTCTGAGGGGACGTCTTCACCACATTCTTCACCTGAACGCACTGAGTGGCCATTCCCAGCAGAGTATCTCCCACACGCTTCACTTCCGCTGGAGAGGCACAAAACCACACAGTAGGGCTGGGCGATATGGCCAAAAAAATAATCACAATAATTTTTTCATACCAGTCAATATCAATAATTATCACGATACACTTCAAATCTTTATTACTTTCAAGTTTAAAGGCAGATTTTTGCTCCTAAGTGAAAGTTGTAGAAACCAGACATGACAGAATATGACAAATACTTCATGTTTTTGAATTTTTTACACTCTTCCAGTCATTTTTCCTTAAAATAAATATATGAATAGAAAAATGTATTTCTTAGTTTCTGCATGTTCTAATGAGGAGTGATATTGTTTCAAATCATGAAACAGGTTTGTGTTGCCTGACTTTGATGCTGTGTAACTTCAGCACAGTCTGCAGTGCAGGCTGCAATATTAATATTACATTTTTTGTCTCTTAGAAATGCACATTTGACAGTAACTTGAGTTGACACTAGTAGCAGCTTGAGTTAGGATACAGATGTCAATTTACAGGGTTCTTACACATTTTTACCAATAAATTTCCATGACTTTTCCATGACTTTTGAGACAATAGAATTTTCTGACAATGCAACAATGACCCGATTAGGCAAATGACAATTCTGTCAACTGTCCCGAAATGCGAGTGAAAGTCTTGTATCGCAGCGTGCAGCGGCTCTTGTAGCGCAGACAAGATGCGCCGATGTGAAGCCGTTTGAAGAGAAAGTCAAAGAGAGAAGACGCGTACAGCTGAATCACTCACGCTGTTTTCAAATGACTGATTTGATCAATCTCTGTGGACTGGACTCAGTCTGTAGGTTTGATTATTTACTCATCAAACCTACATGCTATAGGCTATTGAATAAATGTGTGAATATCCATCATTTTGAAGTCAAAAGCTGCGGGAATGAGTAAAACTATGCAATATAGCCTATGCGCAATCCCGCACCGAAATTCAGGACCTGATTAAACACAATTCTATTATACAGAGTTTTGTGAAATAGATTTCAATGACTTTTCCAAAACTTTCTGGGTTTATTTATTTTTCCAAAACTTTTCCAGGCCTGGAAATTGGTGTTTTAAAATTCCATGACTTTTCCAGGTTTTTCATGACCGTACGAACCCTGAATTTATTCATTATCAAAACAGTTCATTATCAAAAACAGTAACATCTCATTTTTTTATGGTGAAATTTCATTATTCTGACTGTTTGAGGGGTTTTTGTTTGTTTGTTTTTTGAGATTAAAATTAACCATTGGTCTTCCATAATTGCATACATTTAGATCATGATAACCAGTTAAAACCAAACATATAGCATATAGCATGGCATAGGTTTCTAGGTATTTTTATGAAAAACAGTAGTCTAAATACATTTAGTGCACAAACGCTGTAGCTTAATCACAAAAAATACTGTAATTATATTCCATATAGATTTAATACATGTCTACATTAATAACATAATAAAATACCATATCCCACATTTCTTCCACAATACCATGGCACAGTTAGTGTTACTACAGTAAATCCATGGTAAATGATGGCAATTTATAGATTGAAAAGCCTTCTGACTGTATCATTGTGCACAGTGTTTCTCCTGTTTGTCAGCGCCGTTTCATCTGGCTTTAAACTAGTTTAAATCATTACTAAATGAGTGTTCTTTGCTGAATTCAAGCACTTCACACTGTATCTCAAAGCGCTGTTTAGTGTCGCGTGACCGAGACTTCTCAGCGAGTAAACGCATCTGCTCTAGTGAGCTCGCACTGCGCTGCCATTTGAACTTTGAGCCGAGCGGATAAATGGTCCGTGTGGCACAGTTCAAATGAGCAGCGCTGTTTCGTTCCGCTTTTGGCACATAAACATTATATCGAGCATTTATCAAACTCTTGTTTTATCAAGGAAAATTAGATCACGATAATTATCGTTATTGAATTATCGCCCAGCCCTATATCACAGTGTCAAATTCTCTGACATTTGTTGTGCTTCATCATTAGAGGAGCTCTCTTTACCATAGACTGGTGTTTTCCCAGGCAGAATGACCACAATGAGCTGTAGTCCCACATAAGACATCTTGAGATGTTTGAACATCGGCTCCACGCTGTCTGCTCCCTGGGCGTACTTGCAGAAGCAGGGCTGGCCTTGGATGGGCATCCCTGCGTCCTTGGAGATCTTGCGCAGCTGGTCAGTGAAACTCCTATATACACAAAGAAAAAAAAACTTTAACCAGGACCATATCCTTGTCAAAACCTTGTCAAACCATAACAAATTTAAACCAAATTTTCCAACATCTTGAAAATGCATAAACATCATTCATTAAATTATCAAACACATAAAATATTGATTAACAAAAATGTGAAAGGTTTATAATAGGTCTTCTAATTAAAATAATTTAATCATGCATCTTTTAGAGTAGACTAAGAGAGCCTACAGAAAAATTATAATTTATATTAAAAAAAAATATATATATATATGGTTGAGAAAAATCCTTACTTGAGCAAATCTTCTCGGCATTGTTTCTGAGGGGCGAAGCAGGCTACGGCCCACACCTTGATCTCTATACCCGCATAAAACTGCTTTCCCCTCATGTCCCAGACACCCTGATTGGGTGTGGCCACAGTTTTGTTCTGGGGAGAGAGTCCCTACACTCTTAGTGAATCTCTCATTCTCATCACGAGATACACATTCTACCCAATACCCTCCACTGCCAACCCTATACCCACCAAAACCAACCCCACCCACCTCTAGCAGGCCTGGGCTAATAGCAGAAAGTAGACTGCAGAAAAGACCCACCGCCAACCTCCCCATTGGTTAAACACAGAATGTTTTAATATTTATTTTTAGAATTTAGTCTAAAAATGCAGTACAAATTAGCTGTAAAGGTTAAGCATGAAGCAAGTAAATTAATGCAATAACAAAAATCATTAATTCAAGGAGGATTGCATCTGAAATATCAATACAGGTGTTATTTGAATTGAATACAAAAAAGAACTGCTCCAGTGTTCAGGGTGCATCAAATACTCTTAAAGGGGTCATATGATGCGATTTCAAGTTTTCCTTTCTCTTTGGAGTGTTACAAGCTGTTCGTGAATAGATAAGATCCCTGAAGTTGCAAAGACTAAAGTCTCAAAACCAAAGAGATATTCTTTATCAAAGTTAAGACTCTGAAATACACAAAATAATGATCTTTAAAAAAGCATCATATGACCCCTTTAAAGGTCCACAATAACAATTTGACAATTAACTGTTTAAATACAATGAAAAAATACAATATTATATTTTGAGTAAATTTAATATAATATAATTTAATATGATATATATGATATGATGTGATATATGATATGAAAGGCCCTGAAGACTGGAGCATCTGAAAATACATTAAGAAAAAGCACTCATAACAAACACACAAGCAAGATGTTAGAGATAATAGTAACTCAGAATTTTCAGTTGAGCTCATTAACAAAATAATTACAGTGATAATATTGACTGCTCTCATATTTAATACATAGTATAAGTCAGTGACAGCGAGTGAAATTTAGTAGCAAAGACACGAGGTTGCATCTCTTTACATACAACAGTTTCACCAACTTAACCAAAACAACTGGTACTGTTTGCAAAGAGAGAACAATCCCCCAAAGGGTTGTTATCTCACAGGAATGAAGATAAAACTCTACTGGTAGGTTAACTTTAACCAAGAAAAAAAAAATCACAATTGTTAGATGAAAAATGATGATATTTCTCTACACATGAGTAAGATCTATTTGTGGAAGTTAAAATGAGATGTTTATGTACAGTTGTAGTTTTAGCAGTAGCATACTGTTACAAGTACTGTTACATACATACAAGTTTACAGATGTAATTATGATCTAATTGCGTTAGACTTGAGTTCCTCAAGATGAGTTCCTGAGAAGTTAAAGGGGTCATGAACTGAGAAATCAAAATTCCATTGATCTTTTGACAGATAAGAGGTCACTGCACTATAAAAAACATCCTGTAAGTTTCAGAACTCAAAACCGCCTGCAGAAAAAGATCAACACCTACTTCTACATCACTGCCTGTTTAGCCCCATCCACCGATTCACGCATGCAGTGTAAATAATGAGAGAGTCAAATGCAGGTCTACGCAGAAACCAAATGATAAAGATGACTCAGAAGACAACAAGACGCTGTGCAGTGCCAAGTTATGGAAAAACACAGTCTTTGCATTTCCTTTCTTCTGATCCCAACATTAGGAAAGATTGGATAAACTTTATTTAATTAAATTCCAGACCACGTCAGTAAGAACTTGGTCGTTTGATCACTTCATTTTACCACGGATTTGTTTACAAACAAGGCACAATTCGATGCAGGGTTTTCAGAAAGATTGAAACTAAAAGACGATGCTGTGCCGACTATATTGGATCCGACAGTAATGTCGCACTACAAGAGTTTGAGTAACTGTTTTTATTACATGGTCACGATTGCTTTGTCTGTTATTACAGATCGTTTGATATACTAAGTATTTATGCCTTTTTAACCTAAATCACAGCAGCGTCCATCTCTGAAGGATGTAGGCTGTCAAACATACACTGCTAGCCAATCACAGCAGTGGGCATTTACAATCCATCACACCTATTCAAACATCCATCTCTGAAAGATGTAGGCTGTCAAACATACACTGTTAGCCAATCACAGCAGTGGGCGTTTACAATCCGTCACACCTATTCAAACAGAGCGTTCCGATGAGGGGGGTCAAAAAAGGACAGAAAATAGCCTATTACTTCTAAATTATGATGTATTTTTATGCAATAATCTTGATAACATTATAAGTGGACCTCTGCGAACAGTACAAAAAAAAACAAAAAACAAAGGCAGTTCATGATCCCTTTAAAATAGATTGATTATGCTGAGCAGCATTGGCCAAAACACACCAGTGGAGTCTGATCATCATTCCTTTGGTTAGTCCATTCAACCCACGACAACACTCGCACACGTACACACATGCCATTGCTCCCAGCCCACCCGTACTCACCCTGCACCCGAGCCCCAGTACTCACCCTGCTACAGTCCCTCCCAGTGTCTGTACTCACCCGGCCCCCATACTGAAGCATGGGCGCTGGGAGGACCCGCCCGGTCACCTCTGTCATATCATTGTGAACCACAATGCCAAACTCTTTCAGGTAAGGGTCAGGCCCGCCCACCATGTTGTTGCTTTTGACCTGAGAGGATTAACGGGAGCATTAGTGATGAATATTTTTTAAACAAAGTGATTGGCTCTTTTAACCATAAGGCTGGACTTCCCTTTGTACTGCTGCCATATTGAGCATAATTTAACATAATTTTTCAACAAGTGCCACTCACCAGTCTGCTGATCTCTTCCTGTCTGTCTGGGGCTGAGCGGGCCGTAGCTTTTATCATGGTTGAGGTCTGGTTATCTGTTAGTTTCTTTATACAGCGCTGTCCTGCCACTATGTTACAAACCTTTATGGAGGATACAAGACAGGATTCAATGAGTGCCAAGTCAAATCACATTCATTTCTGTATATGTGAAAGCTGGGAAAACCTTTCATATGATTGGCACGTCTCTTACCTCAAGGGGCAGATAGGTGTGCTTCTGTTCTTGCCCCACCTGGAGGCAGGGCAAGTGGGGGTACTTGAGCTGCAGGCTATACTTTTGTTTGAAATACTGGGCAACGGTGCACTCCATAGCTTGTCCGTTCTCGAGCTGCAAAGGAAATCTACAGAAATGTGCAGAAAATAAGTGGAAATCACTGGTGGGTCTATAACAACTCATAAATAGTATTTGAAAAGCTCAACCATATATTACAGGAAATTTTGCAAACGCTGATAAAAATGTAAAAAGCACTAACGTCTGATGGCTGGCTGGGCGGCGTGTGACATTGCACACACGGTACTTCCTCTTCATCTGGCCGCAGTGTGTGACCTCCACTTTCAGTCCTAAACACACGATGATATTAACTCAGCAATTCACTACACAACCACAACTGAAGCAGTCTTGGCCCTTGATGTGGCGTGATGTCACTTGATGTGAAGTGACAGTAAAGATGTCACAAAAGATTTTCTTTTTTTTCAAATAAAAGCTGTTTTATAAAAATTTATTTTACATAAAAAAATTTTACAGTTTCCATAAAAATATTAAGCAGCACAACTGTTTTTAACATTGATATTAATAAGTGTTTTTTGAGCACTAAATTATATTAGAAAAATTTTATGATGGATCATGCGACACTAAAGACGTGAAGAAGTAATGGTGGCTGAAAATTCAGCTTTGCCATCACAGGAATAAATTGTTATTTTATATAAATAACATATTAATAACATGTTATTTTAATATATTAAAATAGAAACCAGTTATTTTATTGTAATAATATTTCACAATAGTGTTGATTTTACTGTATATAAATGTACTGTATAATATATAAATAAATGTAGCCTTGGTGAGCATAAGAGAGTCTTCAAAAACATAACAAACAGAAATCTTACCACACCCAAACTTTTGACAGGTAGTGTAAATTAAGCTAAATGACATTATGAACCATTTTACAGCAACATGCTTCACCGCTCACCTCGGATCTCCTTGGTGAACTTGACACGTTGTGAATCTGTGAGGGGCTTGGTCTGCTCATTGATGTTCTGGATGTCCAGAACCTCACACATGAACTCAATGACAGGCTGGGCTCGGTAGAAGGCTGTAGCTGACACTGCAGTGTATGGACATTTATTTTTTTTTATTTTTTTTTTAAGAGCAGAGTTGGGCATATTCTCAAGATGCACAAAAACACATAGAAGAAAAGACTTTGGAAGATAAAACATACCATCTATGTTGAGCATCATGTTCCACATTGCTGGACGGACAGACTGATGGAAACCGAACCAAACCTCCCTCCCTCCTCCCAGTGGGTGGTAATACCCCTCTGGTGGTGAGAAGAAGGAACGACCTACTGGAGTGTACCTGTATCAAAAGGTGCGAAAGATGTTAGGCCAACCCAAAATTTGAGTTTTCACATCTCACATGGACAGATAGGATTTCAGAGACTGTGGCTTACCGCATGGAGGGCAGGTGACGAGTGATGACATCCAGAGCCTGTACAGAATCCTCCGGGACCTCGTTCAAATGACCAGACAGAGCTTCCAGGAGCATCTGCAGACTCACCACTGACACCCACTGCAGAGACACCTTGAAGGTCTGATCCTTCCCCTCACCTGGCAATGTCACCTCCAGATCCACCTGCATCACAGGTCAAGAACGTTTATTTTTAAAAGGAGCTTTTATTCTTGCAATTAGAATTTAAACACAAGGATCTTGTTATATTTATTAAACATCTGGGGAAACACAAAAACTGAATTATCATGCTTTGGTTACCCGGTCTCTCCCGATGGGTAGTGGATGTGCCGTATACATGTTCCTCTTGCCATCATAACCAGGCTGACTGTCCCCAAAGATCTGCATCTTAAAATGTCTCACCATTGTGTCCACCACCTCTCTATAGCAATAAAACACATTTGAATACATTTCCACTGCTAGCTATATTAGCAATTTTCACAAAAAACATAAAATAAATAAATACACACACTATTGTTCAACAGTTTGGGTCCAGGTCAGTACTTTTTTTTTAGGAAACGAATGCTTTTAATCGGCAAGGATGCGTGAAATTGATCAAAAGTGTCAAAGACATTTATAATGTTACAAAAGACTTCTATTTAAACATTCTATTCAAAGAATCTTAAAAAACATTTCCAAAAAACATTAAGAAGCACAACTGTTTTTAAGATTGATAAGAAGAAATGTTTCTTGAGCACCAAATCAGCATATTAGAATGATTTCTGAAGGATCATGTGACACTGAAGACTGGAGTGATGGAAAATAAATATATGCAGCCTTGGTGAACATAAGAGTTAGATCAAAACTAGTTCCTTAATGACCTTAATTTTGAATGGTAGTGTAAATTAAATCTGACCGTCTGAATGCTGAAAGTGTTCAATTCAGAATATATAAATGGGTATTATTTTATTTGAAAGAAAACTATATGTATTATCTGCTTGCACTCACCTGTTGACCCGGCGGGGTCGCTTTTCAGGCTTGATGTCAATGTCATAATGGTAGACGTCGATCTTGGGGATCTGCACCTGGAAGTGATTGGCCAGCAGGCGAATCGGCTTCCCCACCGTACCCAAGCCGGGCCGGCGTGGTGGTTGGAAGAGGGCAGGGGTAGGGGCAGGGGCAGGCGGGCCTGGAAGAAACAAACAATCATTTTGTTTAGATGAAGCCAAAAGGCTGAACCTTCACTTAACGTAGTGGTGCCTACCGACTGAGATCTAATCTGACATATACCATACACTGAACTGCCCTTTTCTTTCATGGAACAACAATATGGAGAATGTCTGGCTTTCAGATTGATCAATGGGGAAGAACATACAATGACAGAGATACAAACAACTTAACAAGACGATGTGACATCCACTTTGACCTTTAACCCACCAATGGGGTAAAAAAAACAAAAAAAACAAGGAACAATAATATCCAATCATACATGTCCTGCCTCCAAGCAGCCCCACACAAGCCATCAACAAAAAAAATTGTGTGTCCACTCACAGACAGACGACAGCAGGGTCATATGGAAAGGGGGGGGTTTGGAGGATGGATGGCTACTGGGGCCCATCAGAGTGATATGATGTACCCTTTTGTCAAACCGCTGTGTTTGCAGGGGTCTAAGCCCCTCACAGATCCACACGCTCCAGTCAGCAAGCCAAGCGGCAGGAAGAACAATTGGGAGCCTCTATAACCGCTCTCTCATCCCTTCAACATACTGTCTGCCTATGGCTCCCCCTTCTCAATGCCAACAAAGCGCTCTGAACTACAGCATGAACACAGCTGGGGTGGAGATGGGGGAAAACCAACATTCATCAAAAACCAAGAGGACTCTATATATAGGCCACTCAGCTGTTACACTTCACACCAAGATGGAGTGTCAGACACGATCGCTAAAAGTTGGCAGCTACTGCCTTCAGTCTGCAATCAGGGTCTCATGGCACTCATTATCGAGCCTGTGCTTTGTGGTATCCTGATGCTTTCAAATGCATTGTGAGTAAAGTAATCCATGAACAAAAAAGCACTGGATTGCTTATTTGATCCAAAACATCTAACAACTGCCCGACGGTCTAGTAGTCATTTGAAGTGTGAGGCCATGTTCAAAATGCAATACCATCTTAGTATCTATTGAATACTGTTAAGCATGCACTATATATTATGTACAGGGTTTCTGCAGGTTTTATGAAGGTAAGCCTTAAGACCAAGTACAGAACATTTAAAGAATAAATTGCATGAACACAAATACATCAACATATTTTCTACATATAAATGACTTTATTAACAATGCTTCAAAGTTTGAAAACACAAACCTCTAACAGATTTCCATTAATTTTTAAATCATTTTACAAAAAACCAAACCTCTGGCTCAGCTCTCAACCACTAGAATATGGAAATAACTTGTAACTTGTAAATAACTGTACCTTCTAATCACACTGCAAAAAAGTGATGTTTTTCCATCAGTATTTTTGTCTTGTTTAGCAGTGCAAATGTCTAAATATTCTTAAATCAAGACGCATTTACAAAATGATATAAGACTAAATCTATCAAAGCTAAATCTATCAAAATGAAGTGAGTTTGATAAAAATAACAAATATCAGCCAGTGGGCTCAGAAAAATCAACTTGATTCAAAGGGAAAAACAAATTTTTATACCCAATTAACAAATGTTTTTTTTTCTTGTTTTAAGCATAAACTCAATTTAAGCATAATGACTCATGAATTTAAGACTCTCTACTCATGTAAGACCATTTAAAGCCTGGTTCAGACTACACAATTTTTTTGTCGGTTACAACAGTCACTGTCAGATTATGCAATTTTGACTCCTAAAATCTTGTCGTGTCATGAACAAGAAACATGTCAGACTACACTTTGCTACCCGACCATTCATCGTTTGCCATCTTTAATGACGTGCACGCCCGTCATCGATACGGCGGGACTAGACAGAAGGTGCCATGAGCGTAAACAAACAATGGCTAGCAAACAGCGTGTTTTGCTCTGTCTTGTTGTCAGAAAAGCCTAAAAAAGAAAATTACAAACATAATAGGTTTTCCATGATTTTTTGCATATAGAAAATCTGAATATTGTGCAAAGGAACAGTACTATGCAACTCTAAACATGACAATTATACAAAAATTAAGAGGGCTTTAAATGACCGTGCCACATTTATTTTTTACTCCGCTGCATCAGGAATGTCAACAAGAAGATCCTGTAATTTGGCCATGAAAAAAAGAAAATTCCAAACTGTATCCATGCAGTGTCTCTCTGCTGGAGGGCAACAGGCTAAAAGTGTCATGCTGTGAGCTAAATGGCATGATAGGCTTAAACTGAGGGGCAGCTGAAGTAGGTGATGACTCAGTAATGGCATTGAGTCTCATGACACAGGCAGATCACCTGGATTACACAGCGGATGCTAGACATGACAAAGATATGCAGGATCCACGTTAACTGCATACTGAATCACGCCACAGCCACAATCAATAAATCCAGATCTGTTAGAGGCTGCAGCTACCCAAACACAAGAGCTGCTTGTACAGCCGTTGATCTTTCATACGTTTACTCTTTTTAGATTACCAAATAATACTTAAAATTCTAACGCAACAATGCAAGACTGCAACAACGTCGAAATTAATTGTGGTTTTTCACCCATCTTATTCCTTCAATGTGGCGCATTTGGGCTTAATTTTCTATCAGGAACAGGTAGATTTTTTTTTTTAATTAAAGATTCCAATTTTTCTATGAATAGTTCACAATAAGACCAGAAATGTGGATCCATTAGAGTCAATTTTGATTCCACGTTGACTTTTGAATCCTTGTTTTGTAGTAACAGATAAAACAATGCTGATGTTGGTTGGCAGAGGCCACAAGACTCTGACAAACACTTTGATGGCAGATCTTTGGCACTGCCTGACCTCACAGCTGAAGAATAGAAGTTACATTTACAAATCAAACATTCCCAAAACACAAAACAATAGCTTTTGCTTTCTAAAAAAGAATCTGTTACAACATGCACCCTATTCATTTCCTTATTAAGCGTGCTCTCTAACGGTGCTAATTAACAGGTAATTTATAAGGCTTTGACATTTGTCCACTAAACAAACAATACTGATTGAATAAAAATAAAAAGTTAATGGTCCAGAAGACCTGCAAGGTTAATGAAAAGCACCATTTGAGAGAAGCAGGAGACGTCAGATGTATTCAAAAGCACTGATGCATTAACAGACAACATGAAAACAAATGCATGGCAATTTGAAGAAGTCAAAGCGAACTAGCTCTCAAAAAAATATACTGTACCAACATCGCTTAATTCTCATGCATGGCATGGTCTAAGATCATAATTAAGCCTATTTGCCAGAGGTCAGCGAGTTCGTTCTTACAGTAACAACGGCTGGTCGTTGGCTGTGCATAGAGTTAGGTACGTAATATTGGCGCTTAAAGTCCTGTCAGCCGTTATCCTCTGGCATGGTCAGCCTTTAGGCATAAACAAACAAACGCACATGGGGATCACACAAAGCGCCAACCATAAAAAAAAGACTGAGAGAAAAAAAGATATCCGTGCGCTTATCAACTACACCGCACGCGAGCTCTCTATTTGCGTTTCAAGCTCGTGCAACACATTCATAACGATATTTGTACACTTGACTATCAAACCATCGGGGAAAAAACATTAAAATGTGACATTTTTTAAATAAAAGACGTGTTATTTATTATGCAGGGTTGTTCAGGGCAGACGCGGAAGAAAGATGCGTGTGGTTAAATCCCCACCACCACACAATGCCGTCCTGTCTTCCGCAATGGGCTAAAACCATTTAACGCTTATTCAGTAATAAACACACACTTGTTAGATTCCTAAAAACTCGTTCGCCTAGGTTGAGTGAGATTATCTACAGCTTTGTGTCGTTAGCACGGTTCTGACAAGAGGGCGTAGCGTGATAGGGGGATTGTTTTCGTTTTTTCCGTCGAGGCCTAAACAACGCGCTACCGCGGGCCCACAAGGCTCTTTTTTTTTTAGCACTTACCGGGTCCGAGCGCTTCCATGGCCGAGGGCTCTCTCTCCGTCTCTGTCCCGGCCTGGCGGCTCCGTACCGACACTGAAATTGGGGGCGGTATCTCGAAGCTTAAGGTGGCTAATTTAAGAAATGGAAGGATGCGTAGATGTGCAGCGCTCTGCCTGCGTTGTCTTCTGAGTGATTTAAAGCAGATCCAAGGGATTTGTAAATGCGCATGCGCGGGGACGCCAAATCGGTTGGTGGACGCGCACATTGACACACACGGGGAAAATGATAAAGGTTTGGGCGGTGAAGTAGTACACGGATTCAAAGGCTCACCAACCTGCGCGTTGTGTTACGTAATTTGACTTTAGGAACGGATTATGGCACTGAAATTAATGCAGTTCAGTTGACAATGTAAATCCAGGCTGCGCGCCCACTAATTTCAGTTGTAAGTGACGTTTGACACGTGTGTTGATTAATAGCAAATTAACTGTGTATGACAAACACTCAAAACGTTGTGGATGTTTTCCTTTTTCTTTCTCATTACATGTTATCTTAATAGTTTACATTAAGCATACTGAAAGTTGTTGTCGATTATATATTTTATTTGAAAGTTTTTGAAGATGATATATTTTATTATAGAAATATCCTGCCCCCAAATGGCAACTTGCCTTATTTGCTGAAACTCTGTTCAAGGTTGCCAGGTTTTCACAACAAAACCCGCCCAATTGCTACTCAAAACTAGCCCAATGGCGTTCCGGGGGGGTAAAATACACATTTTTGGTAGGGTTCCCCTGGTAAAATTCGCATCCCAGGGGCTAAATATCACGTTATTGGTGTCGCTTCTCAACCGGCGACAAGAAAAACGACCGGCGGCACCAGTGTTAAAGTAGCACTTGGCAACACTGACTCTGTTTTTGACCATTTACAGTCAGCATTGACCAATCCGACGCGTTATTGGTGTTTCAGCTCTGACCGTCCTGTCCAATCAGCACAGCCCCAAAGCGCCTAACAACCGTTCATCCAATAGCGATGGCTCGAAAATAATGACGGAGTCAGTTAAAGAAAAGCGCTGGAGCCAGCGCGCGAAGGGTGAAGGTCTATTAGTTTAGCACCATCGGGCGGGAGATGGGTGTATACATTTTGACATTGTAAAAGTAACGTTTACATTTTGATTATATGACGTTTTGGATAAAAAGACTGCGTTTTCTACGTTCACACGCCTTTGGAGTGACCGCATCGTGCGATTGATGTAGTTTTGTACCGTATAAAACGACCTAAAGATGAGCTCTCTTCTGTCTGAGCGGGTAACGTATCAGAGCAAAATAACAATACATTACTTCCAAAATAGATGCAAATGACTGCATTTGGTGAACAAATACTAGTTGATAACTAATTCTCACCCAACAGGTGATAAATATTTTGAATAAATTCATCAGGTTATTTGTGTTTAGCTAACCATCTTAGCTATTCATCCTGTCTTTTGTAACGTAAGGCCGGAGGAATTGTGCACACTTTATTTGCCTTTTTATCTTAATTGTTGCCAAGTGTCGAATTACTTTTTGTTATATTCTATGTAGTGTTTACAGCAAAATAAAATAATAATAAATACAGTGTAGGTTGCATTCTAGTCGAAGTGTAAGTTAGTGCTCGATCATTGTCCTGTGTTTCCAAAAGCGCGCGATTCATCAAATTAAACTGGGTTTATTTAGCAATGGAAATCTTTCAAAGTAGTATTAACATAAATAGCAAATGTAATATTTTATAGCCTGTAGATCTGGCAGAGGCAAGAACAGCTGAAAGTGATTCAGATAGTGGAATGGGCTCACCAGTGGAGGAGCCTGTGATTGACACCAACATGGTCTCTGAGGACCAGCAAGGTAAGTTAGCGAAGATCTTTTTTTTTTCTTTCTTTATTTTTTAAAGTAGAGAATTTGATGCATCCTAACTGCTTTGTGTTTGTTGATGAATAAGCAAAACGAATGCTTTTGACACTTCTGATCACTGAACACCTAAAATATATTGTGGGATGACAGATCTTTATTCAACCATTGTGTTCCAGATTCAGATGAAGATATCACTGTTAGTCGGAAGGGACGCTCTCGGAAAGCACTGCAGGACAGTGACAGCGACGGGGAGCAGGAAGAGGCCGGAATGGCAAATGCTCTGGTCCTGTCAGAGTCCAGCGACGAGGAGACAAAGACTAATGAGACCGAAAGCATCAAAAAGAAGCGAGGGAAACGAGTATCCCATATCTCAATGCACAGTGATGACAGTGAGCCAGAGAAAGCAGAAGTCGAAGTCAAACCAAAAGAAGCGAAGAAAAAGAGGGAGAAGTCACAAAGACGCAAAGAAAAAGAGAAACGCAACTTTGCCCTTGTAAAACGACTGAAAGAAAAAACAGAGGTGTGTGCTTAGAACATTTAACCGCTAACCATTTCACAATTATTTGTTTTAATTAGGGATGCATCGAAATGAAAACTGAATGAAATGAAAATTTTAAAAAAATGCCGGTAGCCGAAATGACTTTTTTTCTTTTTAAGGAGGTCCTTCCAATCAAAGCACTCAATGACAGCGGCTGTCTGCTTGGGGACTCCGATCTATTTGATGCCCAGTTAGAGGAAGACTCTGAACGGCAATTGGAAAGTGAAGAGGAAGAGTCTCTAGATGCTATCCGATCAGCTGTGAAAAAGAAGGCCAAACACAAAGTAAGCACAGACTTTTGCTTCCACTGTCTTGTGTATGTCTCCACTTCATTTGAATCTGTTACTGATAGTTACTTTTTCATATTATCTATAGCCTCGTCTATCAGACTTCAGTGGAGATGAGGAACAAGAGAACAGGTCACCACGCAAGGTGAGATTATTTATTACAGTGATAGTCACATCAGGGTTCGCAAAATCGCTAGCCCGACATCCCGGGGCTATTGTGTTTTCTAGTCGGGCTACCAAAATATATCACCACTCTGCCCGACGGGCTATCAGATCTCCCACGGGTCCTTAAAAACTCCTAAAGTGAGTTGTATCAAACTTAAGGCCATAAAAAGTTTTAAATACGTTAAATGGTATAAGAAATGTCTTAATTATAATTTCAAGAGGTCTTACAGTTGGGGACGGAGAGTCTCCATACGGCTGGATTAAACTTCAAAAGGCAATGATGTCATTGAATAAATATGAGCGCTGCACGTTTCAAGTCAAAACGTGGCACAGATGTCTTTATTTGAATGCATCTGAATGCAACCGACTGTCCTCAGAAACGTGTCGTTGGCATTTTAATTTCATTTTACCTATAATTCCTGATAAAGCAGCGTTTATGAGCAGGGAGCTGCTTTGTGTACACCCGTTACTGGGGAAACCGCAATATTTCAGCACTCCTAAAGCGCTACCTTGTGGCAGAGAATGAATTTGCATTTCCAATAAGCCTTTCTTGCTGTTTATGGTCAGATCAATGCAAATATCAACTCATGTTTTTACGCAGCAAACACATAGAGTTGTAAATGAGAAAGAAGTTAATGTGCCTTCTAAAAATCTAAACAATTAAGACAGTAATATTTATACGTTTTAAATTGACATAATTTATAAACTTAATTTATCCCTTTTCATAAAAATGGTCTAAAGGCTGTTGTATAAGATTTTTGTTTTTGTGAAAACCTTTATCTGAACTGTAAATCATGTAATTGTATGGCTCAATACTGTATGTTACCATAGACATTGTCCAACCCCACTCATACTGTGTTCATTTTACTTCTGCAGCTCTTAAAACGGGTCATAAATTGCCTTAAATTTATTTTAAAAAATTCTGCAGATACCCTGTAAATAATGAAATAAAATTCCTTCTTTCATATTTGTTTATTTGTGTATTGAAAATGGTTTTGATTGACATTTAAACTCCTATCTGATTTTCTATATTTAAAAAAAAAAAAAAAAAAAGGGCTTTTTTTTTTTTTTTTTTTTTTTACTTTGCACAATAAAATAAAATAATAAAATAAAATAAGGTTCTCTTTTGTTGTTTTTGGAGCTTTATGATATCTGTCCATATTCATAATACAATAAAATAACAAAATAAAATAAATGCTAAAATAAAAAAATAAAATGCTAAAATAAAATAAAGTTATTTTTAGGAGCTCTATGACATCTGTCCACATTCACTTTGAATGTAAAATAAAAACAAACAAACAAACAGCATCCAGGAACCGGACACCCCTGCTGTAGAGAATCGATCACTTACCATTGGATGGAAATACGGATGAGGGACGGATAGATTAATAGATAGATAGACAGACGGATAGAAGTATGGATAGATAGAGGGACGGACAGATTCATGGATTGGGCACATAGAGATAGATGGATGGACAGATAGTTGGCTAGATCTGTAAACAGATTGATTTGTTTAATACCCAAATGATCCGTCTTGTACATATTTGACAAGAAATGAGATACAGAGATACAAATAAAGCATTATACAGATACAATACATTGAATACATTTATTAGTTTTACATTTTTAAACATTAATTGCATGACCAGCTTGTTTTTTTCCCTCCAAAATTGTCATTTGGTGATAATTAAAGTTTGCTTGAACCAGAAGGTGCAACCGAGTTTCTGTGATGAATTTCTGAGTGAAACACGATATTGACTAGAAGGCTGGGCTTGATTTTTGCACACCTCCACACCATCTCTAGCGGGAGGGTTTAGGATGCTCTGCTCAAGCCGTCAGACTGGCATCGTCAAACAGAGAGGAAGCACATTTTCAGAATTTGACTGACTGAAGAACACTTTTTTTTTCTCTGGGTTTACTTGCATGGATTATTCATTCATCACAAGACTAGTCATTTGAGTGCTAACAAAGTCCATAGAGCCAATTTTGATTTCATGCATCTTAAGTTCATATTTAAGATGTTGCATGTAGATTACCTGCTTTTACCTTTACTTTTAGGCAGCATAACATCTTGAATGAAACCTCAGCCTTTATACAGAAGAAGTGTACAAAAAGAAATTTGTCCTATAGCAACACACAGCATGATCATCAGTAAGTTAGATCTCTGGTGTGGCTGAAGACCCTGTTGGACTGTTGTTCAGTAAGAAGAATTCCTCCTTTATTCCCATCATGTTTGGATCACATGGCTACTGCTTGAATCGGTTCTGTCCGTTCACATGTGACTGTGTGTTTTATTCCATGGCTAACAATTAAGACAGTAATATTTATACGTTTTAAATTGACAATTGATATGCTTGATTTATCCCTTTTCATAAAAATGGTCTAAAGGTTGTATAAGATTTTAGTTTTTGTGAAAACCTGTATCTGAACTGTAAATCATGTAGTTTTATGGCTCAATACTGTATGTTAACATAGACATTGTCCAAGCCCACTCATACTGTGTTCATTTTACTTGTGCAGCTCTTAAAATGGGTCATAAATTGCCTTAAATTTATTTAAAAAAATTCTGCAGATACCCTGTAAATAGTGAAATAAAATTCCTTCCTTCATATTTGTTGATATTTGTGTATTGAAAATATTTTTTAAAGGGTAAGTTCACCCAAAAATGAAAATTCTGTCATTAATTACTCACCCTTGTGTTGTTCCAAACCCACAAGACCATCGTTCATCTTCGGAACACAATTTAAGATATTTTTGATTCAATCTGAGGGCTATTTGACCCTCCCATAGACAGCAAGGTAACTACCACGTTCAAGGTCCAGAAAAGTACCAAGATGATCGACAAAGTAGGCCAGATCTTTTTTATGCACCAACAGCTTGTAACACTCCAAAGAGTGAAAGGAAAAATTGAAATTGCATCATATGACCCCTTTAAACACTCTATATTTTACAGTTTCTTATTTAAAACAATAAGTTATTATATCTTGCTCTGACAAAAGGTCACGCTTTTAGTATCATTAATATCAAATATATGTGAAATCAGACTGAAGTTTGGTTCTTTTCACAGAGGAGGATGACACCCTTTCATTGGCTAAGGACAGCAGTCATAACAGTAGCTTTGAGCTGATGGGCTCAATGATCCCATCATACCAGCCAGTCAATAGAGCTGCAGGCAGAGGCCTGTCCAACAGTGCGTTCCGCTCTCCATCTCCCTACCTCTTCAGATCCAGCTTCCTCGGCTCTGCTTCAAAGGTGAAGGTCTCTTGCTTGACTGTTAAGCCTAGTGTGGCTTTATACGATCTTTTAATGTCTTTTGGTTGATTGTGAATATTTGTATAACCACATGTTATATGAAAGTCATTATTAAGGTGTGGTCACACTTAAGGCCCTGATATAATCACGGCAAAGTTCTTTGTCATTCTTCGCTTAGGGGTAAAAAGAACATCCAACAAAAAGCTGTGAGTTCACCAAAATGTCACTAATGTGACTGTACCTTTCAACGTATTTAAGTCTCCTAAATCTTAAATACACATAAGGTGACAGTGGTCAGTTGAATTAGAGTTGTAAATGACAATGATTTGCCATATTAGTGAATTACTAATTTAACAGACACTAAATATTTATGATTAATCTTCTCCTTTTTCAGAGCTCAGGTAAGATGTCCGAACCCTCCCTCTCCCTCCCTGTGGAGGATTCTCAAGACCTTTATGCTCCCTCGTCCCCGAGTGAGTCCGCCTTCCCTCCGGCTGGGGATTCTCAGGGTCGTTTCTCACTGGAGGAGGACACCCACTCCCAGCTACTGGATGCCGATGGCTTCTTAAACGTCGGTCCTCGTAGCGTGCCTAGCCGTTCCCACAAACGGCAGCTTATACTAGACAGTCTGGATGAAAACGCCATGGACGCTAACATGGGTGAGCTCCTAGGGCTCTGCTCAGGGGGCTTTGGATCAGGGAAGACCCAGCCAGGGGCTTCTCAGCCTGCAGCAGAGGATGAGCTCCTGGGCTTGTGCTCTGGAGCTTTTGCCACACAGCCTGAAGAACCAGTCGTCAAGCCCAAGGAGAACAAGAAGACCTTGGAGCCAGAAGAGCAAAGAGGGGAGAGTCGAGGCAGCTCCGAGACAGACATGGACCAGCTGCTGGCTCTCTGTTCTGGCAAGTTCACAGGAATCCCGTGTAAGTCTTGTTTTGTTTATACTGAGGGTTAATGATACATGATTATGATACATATTGAACTTAAGTTTTGTAGGTAACAAACTATTTTTAACCTCTTTTTAGCTGCTTCGTCGCTGCCATCAGTCTCAAGTCCTGCCTTTGAAAAGCCATCTGAAACGAACAGGTGCTCATACACGATCAGTGTACATAGATTAATTGCATATCCTTGAAAATTATAGTTTGTATTTTGTTGCTCCAAATACTATATGCTTTATACCCTCCAACTGTCCCCACAGGAACAAGAACATAACTGAGGAACAAGAGGAAGAGGAGGAAAGTGACTGTGAGTTCCGGCTCCTGTCAGATGTAGACAGCCTTAGTGACAAGGTACTCGACAGATAGAAGATTTGTTACTTTGCCTAATGTGTAAACATTGGTTCAACCAGTAGTGTGAGTTTTGGGTGGGACTACCTGTTTGTCCATAAAATGGAGGAGTGTGTTAATTAAAAACTGGGTCTTTTTTTATGCAATATTGCATGGTGGCACAGAAATGCAGCTGTGAATGTTAATGTTTGCTTGTATTTGTTACTACTCTTTAAGTGCTTAGTGCTGTAAACAATTTGTTTTTAATTTAAGGACGAAAATGAGGATAAATCAGATGCTGAAGAAGGGGAAACTGAGAATGAAGAGGAAGAGGAACGGGAAGCGGTCTTTGGACGACGCACTAGCAAAAAGAAAATGTATGTCTATTTTAGTTTTTCAGAGATATTTCTGAACAATGTAAGTTGTTTAAAAGCATTTTAGTGTGGCAGAGGTTGGGAATTACTGCTAATGAATATATTTTATCTTATATGACAATCATTTTATGCGTGTATATTCATATCTCTACATGATATTTGTGTCCCAACAGCCGTTTAGCAGAGTTTGTGGAATCCGAGGCAGAGTTGTCTGGCAGTGATGTGGGCGATGAGGATGAGGATGATTATGGTGGTGATGAATATGAGGAGGAGGAGATACAGGAAGAGTTGCCATCAGATGAGGAATTGATGGACCAAGTTAACAAGATTCACATGTAAGAAATGTTATCTTAATCCTCCACTTACATTGAGTTGCACTTTTAGTAGGTGGTGGAACAGCGAGTACCCCAGTTGCAAAAGCAGCTGAAATGCTTGTTTGGTAGCTTTGCATTTTACAGTTCATTGCACATGTGGGCTTGTCTGCTGCTAAAAATTGTTGTAACATCAATGTGCCACATGGGGGAGCCAACCTATTTATCAAAGCTAAGCTGGGTACTTCTGTTATGCCATGTGATCAGTCAATTCCATAATTCCAGTGTGATAAATGCCTTAAACCTGATTGCTTTTAGAAATAACCACTTCTTTTATAGACTGTCATGGTCTTTCACTAGGAACATGAGGCTCATAATGTTCTCCCAACAGGAAGCAAATCATGGATGATGATAAGCAAAAACTGCGGCTTTATCAGGAGCGTTACCTTGCTGATGGAGATCTGCATTCTGATGGACCTGGACGAGCTCGTCGTTTCCGCTGGAAAAACATTGGTGAGTTCATCTTGTGATCTGGATCCCACCCCTCAGTATGCTGATGTTGAAAAGCACTTGAGAGTGTGATGGGCATCATTTTACAGGGTCCTGGAAAATTAGAGAAAATGTCAAATGTCCTGGAAAATCTTGTAGTTGTCCTAGAAAATTATTATTTAAAAAAATTTTATTGTGTTTTCCTTTAGCAAAGAACGAACAGTTTACCACTGGCCCAAAATAATTAATGTTTAGTAGAAAATGTTCGAACGGCCATAAAGAACCGGCCTGTTTTTGCTCCAAACGGCTCTTTTGGTTAATTTCAGCCGACTTGCACACAAACTGTATTGCAAGCATTTTCCAACATGTAATTTGTGTGGAACTATTACAAAGCCTGTAAACGGGACCTTCATAAAGGCCAGAGACGCTGAAGACAAACGCAAAGAGGGGAAAATACTGTAGCAGGCAGAGCAGCTCACTTGTGCACAATGCTCGAAATATTGGAAGAAAATCCTTAATATTGAGTTGGGGGTGTGGGGGGGTTATGTATCTCTGAGGGGAACTGACTGTCTTCAGAAAAGTTTAGATGGTATTTTCTTTTCATCTTGCCTCTGTATTATGCATACGAAAGTAGTATTTCTAGAAGCAGGGCTGCTTTGTTTACAGTGGTAACCAGGGAAACTTATCCGCTCTAGGTGGCGCTTTTAAGGGCAGCCGCATGAAAGTTTAGCTGTTTGGCAGTCGGGTCTTTTTAGCTTTTTAAACAATTTTAACTTAATATAGTTTAGAAATGCACGGATAGATCATTTATTTGTATGATTATATTGCTATATTGGGAGTTAGGACATGTGGATGGATTTATTCCTGGGAGATTTTGGATGGATTCTGGTATGCGGCCTACTCTTCTACAGCTGGGTGGATGATAGGAAACTATTGAGGAAACCATCATATCCTGTCATGTCAAACTTTAAATAAAACTAAACTAAACTAAACGCTGTATTACTGCTTTTCCATAAGGGCCACCTGCTGTCAGAGAATGAATTTGCGTCTCGTTCAGCCCGTCTGCTGTTTTTGTTTCATCCAGATGTTTTACCTAGCATAATTTCACAAAGCTAAAGTCAGACCAAAAAACTCATAAGCCAAAGCACTTGAAAATGTAGTGGAAAAAATAAAAAACCTTTATTCACATGGCTTTACATTAAAAAAAAACAACTCTCAAGTGCACCGATGCATAGCAGCTAACAAGCCTTCATCAGGGTGTAAAGTCAGACCGTTCTGTTTGTGCTTCTGGTTTTAAAATGACATCCAATTTAAATCAGAAACTGCTCATGTATGCAGCATCTTTGTTTGGATCGTGATTAAAATGCAGTGGTTGCCTCTAATTTTAAATTGCTACAAAGAGTTTGGCCTGTAAATAGAGCAAAAAACATCTTGTTCATGTACTCATATTTTCATCTTATCTCTTGCTTTATAAAATATTATAAAATATGAACTAATTGGAATTTGCTTGTAAAAAATGTTTTTTTTTTAATCCGATTCAGCCATAAAAAATCAAGTGCATTGGTGCATCACTATTGACTTTTGACAGTGTGAACACTGATGTGTTTCCCAACGTTCTATCCAGTGGTCAATTAAATTAAAATTAAACTAATAATTTTGATTATTGTCAAAAGTATGCTGTTAGTACTTTCTTACCAAGTCGATACTGAAATTTTTAAAATGTAACAATACCAGGCGTTCTGCAGCACTGGTAGTACCAAGTACAGACTCAATTCAGTACTCGCTGATAGGCAGCTGCTTTCAAACGCTTCCGTGCAGATTTATATCACTTTCCGTGACCAGTGATATGCAATCAGAGGTGTTTAAGTTAGTCAGAATCTTCACTTAACCCTTTTAAGACAATACTTGAATAATTGAAAAATATTTGAAGGATACACACCAATATTTTAAAATATTTTTTCTTTAATATCACTATTAGCATTAATAGTGAACTTATTTTTTATTTTCAGATAGTTAAAATATACTTTCAATGTTTTTCTTTTCCTATGGTACTGAATTTGGTTCTGAAAATCATTTGTTGTAATATATAATTAAGAGCTCATATTAAAGAGCTGATTTTATAGTTAAGTCATTGCCATAAACTATGTTTTTAAAGACTTTTGGAGAGGAATATATTACTTTAGGGCATGATCCTCGTTTTAAGCTGTAATTCAATTAAAAATGTCCTGAAAAAGTCCTTGAAGTCCTGGAAAATAATCACTGAAAATGAGTGGGAACCCTGATTAAATCTGACAGTGCTTGTAGCAGCTAACTGGAGAAGATGTTTTTTTTCTGTTACTGTTTTGACCAGATGATATTTTTGAGTTTGGTGGAATGGGTCCTGATGGAGACGAGGAAGAGGAAGATGAAGAAATCGATCAACTGGAGCTGCAAAGACGTAAAGAGCGGCTAGAGAGGGAACAGTGGATGAGAGAACAGGTGTGTGTAAGAAAGAAGTTGATGTTATGTGTGCATGCTTGTGTGCATGTGTCTGACTCCAATTCTGTTCTGTAGACTGAAGCTCAGGCCAAAAAGGGAGAGGATGCAGATGATGAGGAAAAGATTGAAGAAGAGGATAGTCAATTTATGAAGCTAGCCAAGAAGCTCACTGCTAAGACCCTTCAAAAGAGAGGTACCCACATGCACTGAGATTTTCTGACAGTATTTAAGACTAGTGCTGGTTGATTATTTGTTTGCCTCATGATGGACATTTTCTACTGGATAAACAACTGTCAGCTACAAAGTTACTGAAGTGTTTTTCAACTGTTTACAGACCCTTCAGCTGTTCCTCTGCAAGAGAAGGCGGCTCTCAAAGCCAACCAGTTCCGAAAGCCATTTCAGCCCACCGTGGTCAGTACCCACTGCACACTCCATGTTGTTCTCTACTTCCTGTTTTTTTGTTTGTTTGTTTTTTACAGCAATGCCACTGTCAGCTTGTTTAAATTGCTTTTAAGAGGTAAAACTGTCACAGATTTGTAATCTATTGACTTGTAATTTATCTCCAGGTCAAGAGAGGCTCATTACTCAGTCAACCCCGAGCAATGTTGCAAAAGTTAGCCAGCATCTCTGACAGTAACCCTTTGGCCCCTCGTAACACACGAGGTTTTCTTTTCCAAACCCTGTCACCGGAAAAAGAGACACCTGCATCAGAGGGACCCAGAAAACAGGTACTTTGTTTTTCATGTTATTTACATTTTTACAAAGATATTTGTGACCCAGGACCACAAAACCAGTCTTAAGTCGCTGGGGTATATTTGTAGCAATAGCCAAAAATACATTGTATGGGTCAAAATTATTGATTTTTCTTTTATCATTAGGATATTAAGTAAAGATCATGTTCCATGAAGATATTTTGTAAATTTCCTACTGTAAATATATTAAAGGGGTCCTATTATGCTTTTTCACTTTTTCAACTTTAGTTAGTCTGTAATGTTGCTGTTTGAGCATAACGTTGTGATTGGCGAACAGCTTAGACAGTGTTTCAGTACTGCCACGCCCCTTGCTCCGTCTTTCAACAAAAGCTTTTTGGGCGAATCCGGTACTCCCTCATGTTGTGGAAGCTGTCCTCAGTAAAATGTGCAGCGCACACAATAGCAAATTGGGGTTATAATGCTCAGGGACAGAGTTAAAAAATAAATTCCAACAACTGTCTCCTGACATCATCTGCTTTCAGAAGCCCAAACAAAAACGTTTGGTCACGGAGGTGAAAAAAACAGCGTTTCAGGCGGTCGCGCACCGGACGAGAAGCGCAGCGTCACGCCACGTCTTTAAAATTCAAATACATTATTTTCTATGAGTGTAGGCACACCGGCGGCGCCCAGCTAACGTTACGTCGTGTTATATTTGTAAGAATTGTTCTAGACCAGCGGTTCTCAATTCCAGTCCTCGCGTACCCCCGCTCTGCATGTTTCAAACGCTGTAGTCCAAACGAGCCGTTCGTTGTAGTTCTTGAAAAGGGATTTAAAAAAAAAAAACTAAATATCTCCCTTTGGAGTGGACTTTGAGATTTGTAATGCTGACACTGACTAAAATTAAAAAAGTGAAAAAGCATAATAGGACCCCTTTAAAACTTATTTTTTTATTAGTAATGTGCATTGCTAAGAACTTCATTTGGACAACTTTTAAAGGCGATTTTCTCAATATTTAGATTTTTTTTAGCACCCTCAGATTCCAGATTTTCAAATAGTTGTTTCTCGGGCCAAATATTGTCAAACCATACATCAATGGAAAGCTCATTTATTCAGCTTTCAGACGATGTATAAATCTCAATTTCGAAAAATTGACACTTATGACTGGTTTTGTGGTCTAGGGTCACATTTTACTTTGGAGTTAGAATAAAATTTGTGGAAAGGGAGTAAAACCAAAAGACCTGCTAACAGTTTAGCATGATTCGTGAATGTAGTTAATAGTTCTACCACCGGATGGCGCTGTAGTCTTAGAATGATTGTTAAGACAAAGACTACAAGTCAAGTAAGGTGTCTTATTACTTCAACACTCAGGATGAATGTTTTATTGTATAATGATGTATTATGAGCTTTTTAAATATGACCTCTTCTAAAGTATGAGTAAAAATGAGTAAATTAACTTTTCAGGTTAAGAAAAGAGGACAGATGGACTCTTTTAGCCCTGCTGCCAAGCGGCCATGTCTCGGGAACTCCCTCAAACCTACAGGACCACCACGAAGTATTTTCAGCTATCTGGAAAACTGAAGTTGCTTCCAAACTTCCCAGTATTACTTACAATTAATACATAACTATATTTGTCCCATTGTCCAAACTAAATGTTATGATGTTGAAAGTTTGTCTTTTTAGACTATTTGTATCATGTAAATATTGTGATTTCTCCTTTTAAGTGATGTAATTTTATTTTTTTTATAAAATTGTGTATTAAAATGTATTTTAAAATATCGTTTGCAGTTTTGCGACCAAGAGTCATGCTTGAAAGGTCAACCCTTGAGCTCTTAGCACAGGCTCCCTCAGGCTATGAATTTCTTCTATCTAACCTGCAAAAACGGAGTTAACTTGAGTTTAACCAGACATGTTTTGGTCTCAGTGGTTTGACGTAAGAGCTCCTGCTTTTTGTATGTTTAACTCATTTTGTAAGTGCTTTTAATCTGCTTTTTCTGAGTTTGGAGCTGGAGTTGTGTTTTTTTTTTGTTTTTTTTTTATAGATCAACTCCAGGGTGAACACAGCCACTGAATTGTGACTATATTGTCAAGAGAATACTGAGATCAGCTCTCAGCAGCCACTGGATAATTCTGGGTTCATTTGTAACATGCGAGTTGGGTTCCAGCAATATGTTGAGTCTCCGCATCACACATTTTGTTTTAACCAATGATCCCTAAAAGAAATGCTCTTTTGAAGATAACTGACCTTGTCAAGCTAGAAAACTAATTCCATGTTGCCTGCCAAGACGTGTGTGTGTGTGAGTGTGTGAGTGTGTGAGTGTGTGTGTGTGTGCCGTCCCCTGCAGGGCCTGTGCTCCACTTCCAGCGCCTCTCATCAGAGCTTGCGGCTCAATCGTCCTGACATCAGAGCTGTGTGTGTGTGTGTGTGTGTGTGTGTGTGTGTGTGGAGGGGGAGGGGGGAGAGGGAGCTAGCTAGCTTCTGGGCAACTAGTTGAATGTGCAGTAGCTGCCATACTGGATCTGAGTGGTGGCTTTTGACGGCAGTGTCAGGGGTGAGTCCCTCTGGGCTCTGTCACTTCTCAAACTGCCCGGACAAGAGACATGCAACTGAACTGCGGGAAATGGGTCATAACTGCAGGCTGCTCGTATCCAAACAAGTGCTTCAGTTTGCTGGCTATGGCACGCTTTTACTGCAAGTTATCATGTATGTGCGGGACACAATCCAGCTTTTTTTCTTTTTTTTTTTTTGTGGCATAAACTTGCTTCTAACCCGTAGTGTTTTACAGGTGACATGTTTTTGAATTGATACAGCAAGTGTTAAAGCTCATTTTGCGAAGCAACTTCAAGCATCTCTTGTCTCTTGCTCTCATCTTCATTCCTGTTCCTTCCCCAGATTGTTTGCTTGATGTAGATGATTTTCCATGTGACGAAGCCGCAGGCAGACTTTTTATTTGATGTATTTTTCATGTGTTAAGGCTATTATTGAGAGATGGAGGTGGGGGGGAGACTAGAGACAGCCTGAAGGTGTAACACTTGAATGGGGGTGTTGTTGGACAGAGGGGGGAGAGAAGAGTTATTTTCTTCGCCAGCAATGGCTTGTCATGGGATAGGGAGGGAATGTACTTACTGAGTCTGTCTGATGTACAAGCACAAAAACACAGTCACATAGTGCCTCATGATAAGCCACCATAGACCTACAGCAACAAAACTGCAGCTCCATTAAGGGATGTTAACCTGGTTGTAAAATAGTCGTCCTTAACTCTTGTCTGATGACGTTGAGGGTATTTTAGACTTTTTAGGACTCTTAAGGTTTTTCGTTTTCCTGCAATCTGACGTTTGGCGCCCGTCCTTTCAAGTAAAACAATAAAGGTTCTTGTGATATATTTGTGTTACTCTATAATAAAATGATAATGACAGTAGGTATATTTTATGTACTGCCCGAATTGACAGTAATGAAAAGCGCTCGAGCAGCAACTTGCTGTTACTATAGAAACCTCATCAGGTGAACGCGACTTTTGCTCATTTAGCACACTGTTGTTGAAACCTATATATAGTAATATGTATTTATATATAGATATAAACTTTATATTTTGTTATATTTATACTTTAAGACCCTTCATTGTTTGTTTTGACCTCTCTTGGGGGGTTCAAGCCTTAATTCAGAGCCCCCCTCCCTTGTTCATTTTAGAGTCAAACTTTGCTTGAATTTGTTTTCCCACACTAATTTCACCGGTTTCCAGCTATGTGGTCCCTTCCCAGTTTAGGAAGTGAGTCATAGCCCAGTGGTCCGTTGCAGTACACGGGAAAAGAGAGCGGATGGGAGGGAGAGCGAGAGAGAGGAGGAATCAGATTAACATCGCTGGAGAGGGTCGGTCGGAGGAGGGGAAAACAGGGAGGACACTGTATCTTATTCGCGGACGAAAAACGGACAACAACCCGTAAGACAATGCCCTCTAATAATTGATTCTCAAATGTTATTGTCAATCAGACATTTATGTAACGCCTAAATAAAATTGGAGCGAGGTTTATAGGCTCTCTGTGGATGTGCGCGGCTGTTTTTTGCCGCGTTCCCGGCCGAGCGAGCGAGCGAAGCCGAGAGATGGGGTGAGACTTGTGTAACGCCGCTCTTACGTAATCCAACCTCTATTTACCTGGATTCTATTAATCTGTGTTTTTTCTTGGCTTTTGCGATTGGCTGTTATTGATTTGTTTTTGCTGATTATCTAAATCCGCGATAACATGTATTTTGATAACGTTTGTGCTCGTTAGGCAGCTAGTCGAGCATCGAGCTCCAACAAATGCGTTTGATTAGTGGTTTAATGTTCATTGATTTCGTTCATGCATCTTATATATTTATTTTAACGTGGTGCTTCGAGCTATTCCAATCGAATCGCATAAATCGTCGAGTAAATTACAGCAGGAATTTTAAATATATCGAAATGCACCGAGCCGTTCAGGTTAGCACAAATTTTTCGTTCCTGTTCTTGGGGCGGAATTGAACTACTTGCAGATTTTATGTCCTCAATCATTTTATTACTTGCGCCTGAGGCGCACAACCCTGAATCTCTGGTTGCTGTTCTTCAGCACCACATGGCCGCGCAGCCCCTGTCACGCCGAGTGATTGACAGGCCCCGAAGTTATTACGTGGCTATATCTGTGAGAGGACATCTGAATATTTCATGTCACCGAAATAGAGAACATGCCGTGGAATTGCACCACTGAATATTTTATGTATTGTTTTAACCATTATTATCGAGGGATTTTAGCCACAGATATTATTTAGTGTGTTAGTGGCCTTTCAGCACTTTTCTGTTTTGTCTGAAACTATATTTGCAGCCAAAATATAACAATATATTGTATTACTTTGCTTTTGCATCCTTCTGTCAAACCACTAACTCTTTTTTTTTTATTTATTTTTTTTTATCTGCCCTTTTCAAAGAGCGAGTGAATCTCAAACAAAACTGAAAATGCTTCAGCAAGATCGGGCCATGAACCCTGTCCTTGGAAGTCGAGCTCTGATTGGACCACAGTTAACTCTGCGCATTCATACCAACAGTCAAAAGAGATGTGAGAAAGATGGTAACTTTAACTTCCTGGGGCAGGATGATGACTCCATGACAGGAGATGAAAATCGCAACCAGGTGCGTCCAAGAGCTTTGGTCCGTGATCTGCCTCTTTCTGCCAACCACTATGGACCTGGACCCCTCTCCCCCTTGTCTCGTCTGCCATGCTGGAGCCCTTTGGAGCCTCTTCCTGAGATTGAAAGTGGAGACGATATGGGCGGCAGAGTGCCTCCAGATGGCGCAGAGGAAGGCAAGTTTGATGAAGAGATGAGGAGAGTGACGAATGATGAAAAGGAGAAGGCATTGGGAGAGAGTGAGAAAGTGGAGGACCTACTGGATGATGACGAAGAGGAGGATGCAGTGATAGACTGGGCTGACAGTGATGAAGAGTTTGAATTCAGCTACAGGTCCGAAAGCTCTTCCCCACTCAGCACAGAGAGTGGTGACATTGGGCCAGAGGCCCACAATTCCATCTGGGATCAAATCTGCCATGAACGTCCAACAGCAGACAATGGGAATGCGACTGCGGACACCATGAAAAACCAAAACCATGTGGATAAGAAGGCAGAGCGGCGTCGAGAGAGCCTGGAGGGCACTGATGCAGTTGAAGACCGCTCGTCCGACTCCGATATCGACCCCTGTTCTGAGCTGCCGGACCTTATGGAGGCTGTTTGGACGCTACAGGACCGGGAGAGGTTTAAGGCACAGGAGATGGAGAAGCATCAGGTCCAGCTGACCATGTATCGTCGCCTGGCCCTTATCCGGTGGGTTCGCACCTTACAAAATCGTGTCCAGGAGCAGCAAAACCGCCTCCAGTCCAGTTTCGACGTCATTCTTACACATAGGAAAGAGCTTCTGCGCATGGGTGCTGCCACTGCTGCCCAATAACAGAAACAAACTGAGAAAAGTCATGAGACCAGCTGATGACTATTATCATGTGAAAAGTAATCTTTGCATCTTTGTGCATCTCATTTTTGAATCAAAGTACCTCCTGGGTCTCTGAACTATTTTGCCCTAATGTTCCATGATGACAAACTTTTCTCACTATCATAAATGTGGTTAAAAGTCCTCCAAAACATCACCTTGAACTGTGTCCACATGGTTACTGATGTTTCCGAACTCCTCCAACCTGATATGTTAAAATAATTATAAAGTGTCATATAAATGTTTTGTGTGGTATTGAAATAAATTATATTTAACAATAAATGCGCACTGTGTCTTTTTGTGAAATGCTTAGTTTTGAGGAGTAATACATTTAAAATATTTTTCACCTAAAAATGCACTTCATGTGATAACATCTAAATTATTTTAATAAAATCAAATATATTGTTTATTATATTGTGACTAAAGCAATGACTATACTATAAAAAAATAATATAATTTTAGGAGTCAGATCAGGTCGAAATTGTTCCTTAGGGTAACAACAGCACATGTTCACTTGATCACATTTCCAGCCAGTGTATAAAAACAACTCAGACTGACGCGTTATATAACAATAGATGACAATTCTTGTGCTCTAAGGCTTGATATTGTTTCAACATTATATATTCAAGACCTCCTCTTGACCTTTAATGACAGTGTTTCCTTTAAGAACCACACAGTGTTCAATTGTTTCTCCTTATCACACATAAAAAGTGCTGGGTGAGAGTTTTAAATCAAAGTGGCCTGCATCAATCTAA